GGAGCCGCCGCAGCGCGCAGAGGCCGAGGGCCGAGCGCTCGGCTGCGAGGGGGTTTTATACCGACCCGGAACATGGCGCCTTCCCGTTTTATAAACCTCGGGTGGGGACCGGGACTAAATAGCAGCGTTAATTCCCTTTACAGCCAGGCTGTACAGACGCTCCCCGGAGGCTAAGCTGTGTGACCCCTTCGTTCAGGTCGGAGAAGAAATCCCTAAACGTTTTGCACAGAATTACTGCTTTCTTGTGTTGGTTTTTTTTTTTTTTTGACGGGGGGTTACCTTTCAGATCTGCGAAGGCAAGAGGAGCGCGGAGAGCTGCTGCAGCCGCTGGTCTTTGTCTTACTGGTTCTGTGCTCCGTCCTGCTGTACTTTAAAGTGTCTCTCATGGATCCGGGTTTTGTTAAGCCTGATGAGGAAGTACAGGTAAATCATTGCGTGAATGAAAGTGCTGGGGCTATAAAATCTATAGACTGCTTCCCCCCCCCCCCGTGCTAGATAAGAACAGTCCGCAACAGTTTCTGTTGCGCTTGGCATAAAGGAAACATACAGAGACCTTTGGAGATGAGGCCAAAGAGTCTCTGATTCATATTCTGTAAAGACAGTAGGGATCACCCAGGGTTTAAGTTCATCTTTAAGATGTTTAAGTTCCTCTTTGTAAGCGCACTGTGCTGCTCCAGCGCAGGTCCTCTCCTGCCTCAGAGGCTCAGTACCCCGCGGAAAGCACGCAGGCTTTGTTTTATGCTGAGAGCTGCTAATTGGTGCAAGTACAGAAAGAACTGAACTGAAGAGCAAGCTTGGAAGAAAGTACGCTTGGCAGCTCTATTTATTGAACTGTTTGTAGATCTGTTGCCCTCTCAGAGGACAGATACACAAACAAGTAACAGCGAGGTGAATGGAGGTGCAAAGTTACAGTAATGGAGAGGTAGCCTATGCCAGGTTCACTGCATTCCTGATTGTATAGGATTAAAGAAACTACGCATTATTGTATAGGATTAAAGAAACTATGCATTATCATTTTTAATCTTCCACCATTTATATAAATGTCTGGATTATGAATAAGTAGCACTGCTTTTACTGAAAGGCCATCACTACTATGTGTGGAAGCAGAGTCCGGTCTTGTTTGTTTATGTCCCAGAATGTAGTTTGGGGGTCCAGGTGGTGTCTTATCAACAATTATTTCTGCCTGGACACAAACATTCCTTTGAATGGTTACAATAACCTGTTCTCTCTGGATATACCTTAACTATCTGAAGTGGAGTTTCATGGATCTGTACTTACATAGCAGCTTTTGTACCTCTCCAGGAATTACTCGGTTTAACTTTCCTCATGACTGAGGTAACAAGCACTATATATTCATGAAGTAAAAGGATCCAGGCAGCCCAGTGATGCCAAATGGGCTAATAGCTGCTGTTACTTCAGACAGCAGCCCATGAAACATCTTTACTCACTGTCTTTTTTGGTAGGCAGGAAAGACTGAAGAACAAAGCATGGTGACACCCCAAGTTCCAAGCAATATTAAGATGCGGCGCTGTGGCTACTGCATGGTGAAGGTAGGTATTCTTGACGCTCTAGAAAAGGATGGGATGGCTGATTTATAAGCTTGCATTTCTTTGACAGCATCTTTGTACGACTGATGTTGCCTGTGTCTTCCTGCTCAGCCATTGCTCCTCACTGTTCCGTGGTTTGGAGGCATGGCAGATCTGATTAACTCTGTCACAGCATCACCCTCTTGCTGAAAAACCCACAACAAAAGCAAATACAACTAACAAATTGATTTCAGGTACAATCCTGAACTGAAAAGTGATCCAGATGGACTGTGTAACTAAAGATGTAATGATGGAAATTGGCACGTATGCTAATGTTCCAAGGTTGAAAGAAGTCCCTGCTAGCTTATAGAAACAAAGATCTGCTTTTGCTCTATTCCACCATGGGAAGATCATATTCTACGTTCTTATTGCCGTGTCAGTCAGACCTTATTGTATTGTCAAAAAAGCTTCTCTTGAACGTAGAGAGCCAGAAAGGCAGCTGCGCACAACACACAAGAACTGCTAGTCACTGTGAGCTTGTTTGGAAGCCTAGAAACAACAAAACATTAACCTGAACTGTAAAACTGTAAAGCCTAGAAATGCCTCTTTTCAAAGTGTTCCTTATCAGTTTAATAAAATCCAGTATTATCTCAGCTTCCATGAATTCCTGAAGAGTATCTACTAAAAGAAATCGGCTTGTTGCAAGAGGATAAGCTGGCAAAACATACATATGTTTCGGGGAAAAAATGCTAGGAAGGCACATCCGTATTACTTTTCTCAGTCATATCTTTCATCTTCATCCCTGCACACTCATTCAATATCAGTGGTCCTATTTTTTCACTTCAGCTCCCTGCTCATGCTTTCCTGAATAGCTACAGCCTATAAAAATAAACTGATTGGCTGTATCTCCCTACTTTGCACACTGGGCTTCCCCTATTGGTAGATAATAAAGAAAACGTATAGGGAGGTGTGGGAGAGTCATTTCATTTGAATCTCACTCCTTTGGATCTGTACCAAAGGATCATGATCCCTTTTACTTGTCTTAGTAACGTTTATATTGTACCTTTATTTCAAGAGGGAGTCCTTTTGGGACTGCCTTGCTGTGGAGGAAGACAATTTTACATGATGCTCTTTTCTACAATACAGGGAATTGAACAGGAGTGGACTATTGCTCGTGTTGTGTTTTCTTCTGCAGCAACCAATGCGAGCCAAGCACTGCCAGCTGTGCCAGCACTGTGTTCGGCGTTATGACCATCACTGTCCCTGGATTGAGAACTGTGTAGGAGAGAAGAATCACCCTCTCTTCATAGTCTACTTGAGCGTGCAGCTTGTAGTTTTGCTGTGGGCAGGTCATATTGCTTGGTAAGTCCTGGACACAGCAGTTTTACCGCTCCTTTTGATGCTCCTACAGCCCTACTGAAGGCTTTGTGCAGAACAGAACAGTGTTTGGATTAGCTTTGAATGGTCACCACCTTTTTGCATACTGCAGATCAGCTCTTCTGAGACCCCTAATCTGCTGCGCCTTCTCGTAGCTTATCCACAATTAGTTAAGCAGAATCTGATAATTTGGGTTTTGTTGTTCATCTTTGCTTTAAGCTTAACAGAATTATTAACCTAATGAATTTTGCTTCACTTAACTATAATACAATCTTCATTTAGAAATTGAAGTATTGGAAGCTGCAAGTGGGTTTCAGCTGTACCTCTGTTCAGGAGAGGAAGCAACTAAAGACTACTGTATCTCTCTGTTAGGAGAGCCAGCATCTCTTAAATTTCTTAGATCTTAAGTCACCACTGCTGCAGCCTCTTAAGAGTATACAGCATATTAACATCGCTGTAGTAAAAGATGATCAGAAGTTCACTCCTTGTGAATCAAACTTAAATGTGCCGTCGAGTTTGTTTGGCTTATGTAATTTAGTTTTACATCTTTAACCTTGAGCATGTTTCTCTTTGAATTGAAAGGTCAGGCCTCTACTTGGAACAGTCCTGGGATTGGCTGCAGCACAACATTTTCCTCATCGTTTCCTTCCTCCTGATAGTCATGTTCACCGTTTTTGTCCTGTTGCTGCTTATTTCACATCTCTATCTGGTCTCTTGCAACACCACCACCTGGGAATTCATGTCACAGCATCGCATCTCCTACTTGAAACACTCCGAGTTGGAGAATCCCTTTGACCAAGGGGTAATCCTCAACCTTTGGAGGTTCTTCTGTTCATGCCACCTCACTGCATGGGAGAAAATCTACTTTCACAGGGATAGTGAACCTGTCTAGTCACAGCAGGACCTACTTAGTAAAGTGCCAACACACTTGCAGGTTGCTGGATGAAATTTTACTAATGCAAATTGCTGCTGTTTCCTTGTGTGGAACTTCAGCATATTCTGAACTATGCAGCTTGTTCCGCAGCTTGCTCGTCCATAAAAGCAAATTTACATTTTTAGAAGGATAGTCAGGGTTATACGGATAGCACTGTTGAAGGGCAGGTATTGGTTCTGAGAAGGGCAGAAGGCCAGATATTTTGGACTGAATGAATGTATCTCTTTAAACTTGCTTCCTTTTGTTAACTGCATCCAGATCGCTTCAGAAGAAATGCAAGAGTAGCGTGAAAAGGTATGTGCACTTCTGCTCCCTAAAGTTTCACTTTCCTATTGCTGCTAGAAAACAGCAGCTGTTACAGACAAGTGGAGCCAGAATCAATATAATTCCTGCGGCCTTTCTTCACAGTGCCGTCTCTCAGTAGTGTTTGACAAATAATAGAAACATTCTGAGTAAATATATGGATAGTCGAAAGCAAATTTCATTTTGACTACATGCTTAAATGTCACGCTTTTCACAAAGATCTGAGGTTTAACAGTGTTCATGTATATGAGAAACAGCTGTAAGGCACAAAATTCAACTGATGTAATTAGCCTCATACTTTGTGATGTCCTGATCCGCTTCCTAACAGCAAGAGACTATTTTGAATGTGTTCAGCTAAGAATGATGCCATTCACTTTTTATTGGACACAAAAGCAATACTTGCCTACTGAGCTATTTCTGCAGATAGCTTCATGCCTCAGCGTTTACTGGGGAGCCTTTACTCTTTCTGGGGAAAGAGCCTTAATTTATTATATATACAGGAAAAACACTAAACTAGTAGTAGAGGTGGTCACTTCTTGCCTGGCTTAAATAACACTGGTGGTAATACTACTACCTCAACATCGTAGTAAAATTTTACTAGAAAAATACAAAATTCCACTGTAAGGGGAAAGATTCTAGGTCCTCTTTATTTCTATGGCATTAGGGGGTGCTGACAGCTTTCTAGGATAGAAGCAAGATTACTTGTTTTCCATTGTAATAGAAGGTCATACTTCAGGTTTCCATGAAGGACTACAAGGAAGGTTGGGATGAGCACCTCTCAGCTTTAAAGGCAGAAAAGCCTATGGTGCGCATTTTAGTCTCGACTTTTTTTCTCTTAAAGTCTTAGTTAAAGTTATTTTGTGCCTTAATCTCCTTGACTCAGGAGTTAACACCAAGTTGGGATTGCATCTGGCAAACTGATAGGATGCACTCAGGGTCTAAGGTCACGAGCACTCAGGAAAGGGGAGTGCGGAGTCACTGATACAGCACTATAGTCCAAAAGCAGCTTAAAAACAACTGAAGGATCCCTTATTTTGGCCAGTTCCGGAAAGAGCTTGTAACGTGTCCAGTCTGGTTTGTTCAGGGCAGAAGCTCTTATCAGGGGGATCTCAGAATATTAAGACTTTTTTTTTCATAATAATGATGCACAATACATGAAGGTTTGTGTAACTTATTCATATCAGTGTCGCATCTACCAAAGTAGGCTCACCTACCACTTAGCAATTTCTGGTTCTTCAGTTATCAGCCAAATAATACTCAAAACACACACTACTGCTCTGTTTGGCAATTCTTTTTTAAAATGCACGTGGATGGTAATTTATAGTCTTTTAACTCTACTATAAACTATTAAAAGATTACATATACCTTTTGTGGTTCTCTACGCCTCTCCCTCTGAACCCCGTGTTCTAGGCTTCACCTGTGCTAACAATTCACTGTGCTACTTACTTTATTGAAGCCCTGACCTTAAAAAAGTGGCAAAACAGTACTGTAGGGACCAAAACCAAACCAACCGTTACTATTTAAACAAAGGTGAGGAAGATGCGTATCCTGCCTTAAACGGATCATTATGCTAAAAGGCAGAAGCAGGAAGTTGAAAGGATACTCTGGAATTTTCAGAAGCAATTACACTTGGCTCTGACAATAGGAAAACCAGGTTCAGTGTGAATTATTTCTGATAGATGCTAACATATACTCTAACTACTCTTACCTCTCTGAATCCTGAAGCACTTAAACCAGCCTTGATTTAATGAGGGCTGCTCCCTGGTTGCACCCCAGCCTTTTCTCCAGAAAGAGCACAGTTGTGCTAGTTCAGCTCTGTCTATTTCTGTTGAAGATAAACCAAAGTGTAATAGCTATAGGCACCTGTTTGTTTTCAGTGGGATACTTCCTTTCTAGATACCCTTCCCTTTTTTGCCCTACAGGCTAATATAATGAATTTAAGAGATAAAAATGTATCTTACCAAGTGTTAACTACACATGATAGGTTACCAGACAAATGAAATCAGCTTAAGTTTTTTTTTTTTTAATATATTAGCTATTCCAAAAAGGATACAGGATATATGCATAGATAAAAACTGCAAAGAGAAAACTTGCCTGCAATCATTTGGATGTGATAGGTGATCACACCATGCAATATGTACACACAGACAACTGGAATGAGAAAGAAGGAAGGAAAATACTACCATGACATTTACACAGAAAAAATAAAATCCTTTTCTACTGAGTAGAACATGGTTAGCCCTCATCTGAAACACATCCAGCCAACTAACACCAAGGAGATGAAAAGCTACAACTTCATTATAAGAAAAAGTGTCTTTATTTTCCAAAAAAAAAAAAAAAAAAAAAAAACAAAAGCATGCGCAAAGCTGTAGGTTTTTTATAACATTAAAAACAATAGCTAAGATTTAGCATCATGAAATAAGTAGAAAGAGTCTCTTTTTCCTTAAGATAGGTCATTTGGATCATTATCAAACCCAAACTTCATTATCTTGGTTGTATTAAAATCCATTCCTTCCCTCACATACATACCTATGAATAGGAACAGGTAAAAAACATTACAAAGAGGGAACGTTGCACATCTCTTCTAGAAAACAGGCAGGACAGTCATTCCCCCTATTATGTAACTTAAAAGAGCTATGCCACTTACTGAGGCTCTTTGCAAAGAGTAAGCTGGGATGCAGAGAAGATTTGATTTCATTAAGTCCAGCTTAAATTCCAAATTTTCATACCTGTTCAATGGCAGCAGGTGACACACCCAGTCAAAAATGAACTACTACTTAAGGTAATTCACATCCAGTAACCCTCTGAAGACTGACACTGAAAAAACACAGTAGAGCAACTCAGCTTTTAAGACACTGTCTTCCTAGGGTCCTCAGCACTACCAGTTCTATGAATTCTGTTGACTTTTCCATTGCCCGTGTCAAGTTGTCTCTACAAACTGTCACGTTGGTAACAACTTGTTCAGATTTCTTACAGCACAGCAGTCGCATCTAAAAGGTGTGTGGAGACAAAGTCAAAATCCTTGAAGACAGCCTGCTCCTTACGGGTTAGGAGAGCAACCTCCTCTGGAGGAGTCAGAATTGGCTTTTGCGATGTAAACTCTTCATCAAAGTTGCTAATGTCAGTTGGAGCTCTTAAAGTGGGCACAAAAGGGGGCTTCAGTTTCCTGGCAAACAAGGCATCCCAATCAATTTCCTGTAAAGAACAAAGTGAAGAGGCCAGATTGACAATAAGGTTATTTATGAAACGTGAGAGAGAAAGTAAGAGAAAGGACTGCAGCCTGTCTCCAACAAGCCTAATTTCTACTAAGCCAAAAAAAAAAAAAAAGCCAAAATGAACAGCAAAGTTGGTGCCGGCCAGGTAATATAGAGATTCTACGTAGTCTAAGGCTATGCTTCAGAACACTAAGGAAAAAAAAGCTACAACTCAAACTATATTCAGTAGGGACAAAACTAAACTGCAGCCATGGCCAGGCACATCAGCAGACTACCCAGCAATTTGTGCTGACATTAGAGGTCTTTGTTTACTCCAGTGCACCAATGCAAAGCCAGCCAGATGCTGTGAGGCTAATAACCTCTAACAACATCTTTGCCTAAACAGCCATGCACCCTTGAACCAAAGCAAACGCGTCTTTAACCTCAATTTCTCTTAGGATTCATGTATATCCTGCAAATGCAGGTGCCATCAAATAGAGTAACTGACCATCACTGCCATCGCTAGACAGCACCTTTGATTGCTGCAGTTTGATCTAAAAAAGGGTATTTGCTGATGGCTCAGAAGGTAGGTGTATTTGTCCATAGAGGTAGCACAGTCTGAAATAACAGACTGGTCCCGAAAGCTTACAGATCCCAGAAAAAACACTCAGGGGGTGTCATTTCCAGCATCACTTGAAACACTTATTCCTAACTAGAACAACAAGGTGCAACAGAAGCTGCCATTAACATCTCACTGAAAACTAATGGGAATTTGCCTCAATACCAACAGAAAGCAAATCGCTCTCAGCTAAAATACAAGAGCTGAGGCGGAAGGATAAAGGGAGCCCCTACCGTAAAAAAAGCCTGGATTTTAATCTCTTCTGCATCTCTTTCCCCTGCTCCCAGTCTACGCTCTGGACATTTCCGAAGAAGCTGCAAGAAAGATCAGTCCAAAATTAAACAACTGGAACACGGGCAGAAATAATATTCCAGAGAGAAAATAAAAGGAGATGGGAGCCTTCAGTATTTTGCCATACTTGCTTTGCAGCAAGGTCATAAACTGCCAGTAATAGCTCAGACATAGTTCCTTTGGTACAACTTGCTAATATCAGTAAGATATCTGCTATAAACTGCATGTAGCATCTCATCTTAATCATGTACACATGATGAATGGATCACATTTAAAAACTGATCACACCATCTCCATTGAATTACTCTACATTCCTGCCCTTGAATCAATGCTTCTTCATTTCAGAACTAGCAGCAATAGGCCTCAGTAAGAAGTCTGCTTAGTCATCCTTAGCCGGAAGAGTAGCATTTGTGTGGAAAGAAAAAAAGGGAAAATAACTATATGTGTAAAATTTTAAAAGTCTCCTTAGCTTGTGTAGGCAGCTCCAGATTACACACACAAGCGCTATCTGGCCTGAATAGTGTCCCTCTGGATCTAGTTAAGACAAATGCACATTTCTCCGGATCCTGGAGAACCCCCAGCCCATTACCTTGCGGACTATAGAAATTGCCTCAGATGAAAGGAATCGCGGATACCGGACTTCATCATTGACAATACTGTCAAAGACTTCTTCTTCATCATCTCCAGGGAACGGTGACTGCAATTGTGACATTTTTATTATTTAACCCACATAGCACCTGTTTCTATAAAACAGGGATGAGAGCAGCAGTGAGTTGTAGGGATTAACTAGTGTTTGGCAAGCACTATGAATGAGAAAAACGTGTTAGAAATACTAAACAACAACAAGGTCAAGGGTAAGACTGAGGATATCAGACTGCTAGAGCTGTTTTCAGAAAACCACAGAGGCAGTTAGAAGACTCATAGTTTGAATGCATGAGGAACTCCCAAACATGCCTGAAGTTATTTTAAACCCCTGAATGGCTGTTGGCCATTTTCACCAAAATTTTACCTCGCACAGTCAGGTACAAATTCTCCCCAAGTCTGCTTGGTGAGATCCCGTTAGAGAAGGGTGGTCTTACCTCACCAACAAGCATCTCATAAATGAGTACACCCAATCCCCACCAGTCTACTGCCCGAGTGTATGAAACATCTGTCAGGACTTCTGGAGCCAGGAATTCAGGAGTGCCACAGAAGGTGTTTGTATGGTCTCCAAAACCTATTCCTGTAAAGGGAGGGGGGAAGCTGTTGTAAAATCCAGCACACACATTTCTAAATGGATCATATGCAGTCCTATCCTTTGAAAGCCAGGACGTTAGTTTCCTTTGAAACTAACGTCCTTAACTGTGTAAGAGCTGTCATCTGTGCTTGCAAGTGCCACTGAGGAAGTATGGAGCACCTGAGTCTCCTGACAACAACTCTTGAGTTTTCTAAGCTGTGACTCAAAAGTAAGAAAGAGAGAAGACAATGCTTAAAAAAAACAGCAAAAATGAGGAAGCTTCCCGGAGATTCCACTGCTCGCTCCCTCAGGAACATAATCTTGTACTACCCTATATCCTGGGTCCTTTGGGCAAACAAGTATACTGTAAACTCCTTGATAAGTTTCCTGAGGAGCAAAGGACAAAATATTCTTTCCAGGTTCATTATGGCCAGACAGATGAGATTTCTTTAGATGGCAATAAACACAACCGTTAACCAGAGCCACCTCAGTATCTGTATTTGCAAACGTATTACCAGAACGCAGATCCTAAACTTCATCCTGATGGCTCAACTTTGGCTTCACCAGGATGACTCACCTTCCTTACACAGTCCAAAATCTGCAATCTTCACAAAGCCTTCAGCATCTAAAAGCAGATTATCCAGTTTCAGATCCCTGCAGGCAAAGGAATGGAAAGAAAACAGCAGATGAAGTTCTAGGATTGCCATCCAACAGCTTTTTTTTTTTTTTTTTTGGCAAGAGGCAGAAACTAGATATTAGTAAAGAGAATAAAATTAATTAAATAATATTTGAAAGATTCCCCTCAAAGGCTATTTTACTGACATTTTCCTCTAATGAAAGGCTCACAAAGCAGCTTAGAGCTGGGTAGGACTTACTCGTCTGCTAAAAGGGCATCCCACAAACACAGGACAAATTACTCAACTGTCCCAATCAAAAAGAAAGCAGTAACTTACAGGTGCCCCCCAGAATGTATTGACATGTCACAAAAGATGAATCACCTGCAAACGTCAGATGAATATCTCCTAGATGACTTTCTTTACCACAGGTAATGAAGACATGAATGATGAACATGCGCTGATAGCAACAGGAGATGGGGAAAATAAAAATGGACAGAAGGATCAGAAACCCCAGCGAGATAGTGAGCTCCAGACATGTAGCTACAGGAAAAATAAACTCTCAGGTTGCTGAAAATTCTTATTCTTGACTCATTGCTGCATTACCTATAAATAATTTTCTTCCCATGCAAGAACTGGAGCCCCAAGACTACGCAGGCCGCATAAAACCTAAAAAAAAAAAAAAAAAGAGGAATAGTTAATCAGGAAAGATATATGAGAACCAAGTTAAAAAAAATTACAGTGCCTGGAAACTCTAACTTACCGTGCCATATGCTCTGGAAAGATATCTTCATGTATGCGCATCATAAGATCACCACCTGGGGTATATTCCATCACAAAACAAGCATGATGAGGTGTCTGAAAACATGCAAACATGTTCACAAGGAACGGATGATCAGAAGAATTGACCACTTCAAAGATTCGCTTCTCACAGTTCAAGCTGCAAGGATTCAGAGAATGAAAACGTCAATGTTAAAGCTTGCCAGAAAGTTCTGTTTTGAGAAAGACAGAATGAAGGAGGAAATCTTTACACCCTAAGCTGCAGAAATAAAAAAATGATCTAATACAAATATTTATCTTATATGCTTCCAACCCTTGAGTTTTACTCTGCTCTTCAGGTGAGTATTATTCCAGCAGAAGCTAGGAAGCAGCACTGTTACAAGCTTCCTGCTCTTTCTGATTTTAGTTTTAAGGCCAGTCATAACCTTAATAGTACCAAGAATAGCAGACATCACACCTACTAACAGTTGACTACAGGTGTAAAACTGCAGCCTCCAGCAATACTACCATCTCTAAACAATGCTCACCTATCAATTTCATCTCTGCTAATAATATCTTTTTTCTTCAAGGCTTTGATAGCATACAGCTTCCCAGTTGCTTTGTATTGGGCCAGCAGCACCTGAAAGATAACAGAAATGCTGTACTCCAAACAATTCTGATGTTTCCTTATTGGATTACTTTGACACCCATTGTCACAAACTACTTCCATCCACTCCAGACAGTCTTTCTCAAAACCAAGCTCAAGCAACTCCGTAGGTGGAGCACTTCTTCTCTGCTCCTTGCGCTGCAGCAGTCCAGAAGGACGTCACTGTAAGTTTAACCACTGTAAAGGCCCAGTGCTTTGGGAACACCTCAGAGCTCTCGCAGCAAGCAGCTATGCATGCAGTTTTTAGCAATGAAGCTATTCCACCAGTGAGTGCAGTTTATAATGAAAGGAAGGGTATTGGTGGGATTTATGAAATGATTTTGTCAGTCCCTGGAGAGCTTTCTCCAGGATTTGAAGCCAAAAATTCTCAAGAGTTTTGACTGTTGACAGGAGCATTGACTGCTCGCGTGGTTGGGTTCAGTTTGTTCTATATATCTGCACTGCAACAAACCTCTTGGTGTTATATTTTTATGCAGATTCTGAGGCAGAGGACCGTCTTCACACCCACAGTCCTACCACCCTCCTCCACAAATCCTGCTTTTCTTCCCTACCTTCCCAAAGTGTCCACGTCCCAGCATGGCAATACAGTGAAAATCCTCAAGCTGAACTGCCCTTTTCCTGCAGGCAAACAGAGAAAAAAATGCTGAGATAGTGCCCAAAAGATGGAGAAACAGGTACCAAAGGAGTGTGTATTTGTGACAGGGGGAGAAGCTCTGTACAGCGAACGGGCAAAGTGAAGAGCTGCCTTAGCCACTCCTCTCCTAGGCTGAAATACTGGAAAGTTAGACGTGCTGCTGCCGCTCTGCCACTGAGGAAGGGAGCAGAAAACTAAGTTGAGGAAACTGCTCCCAGCAGTAGCAGTCTCTGCCTTCCATCCCTACAGGCAACAGGAGCAACAATTCTGCCTCTCCGACGCTCGCTCTTTCTGTTACTTCCCATCCTTGGGGTAGTGAAATTCAATTTTGCCTACACTCCTTTCAGCAGGCTTAACAGCAGTTGTGATAATCAGACATGAGCATGTACATACCAAGTGCCAGTAAGACACAGGGATATCGAGACAAGAAGCTCTCAAAGAGGAATTGGAAATGAAACAGGGAAAAACAACAGACATAAGATTTTGCTGGGAAAAAAAAAAAGAAGCTGAATAAAGTGATTCTATAGAACGTTATGTCAGCTACAAGGTGTTACCAAGGAAACTCAGGCTGCAGAACTGCTTGGAAAGAATAATAAAAAAAAAAAGCAACTAAAAGCTTTATTCCAAGATCATCTTTAAAAGGGAGCAGATGTTCCATACTCCTCTGGTGAGTGAAACGAAGGGCTCTCTACGTACTCCCTCCTCAGTCTTCGCAGAGAGAAGGTAGATAAGACGCCTGACTGCATTGTAGCTACAGGGTTTTGAACGTGGGACCCCTCGAAAGTGATGACGACCTTATGAACATACTTCTATGATCCTGCATATGAAGTATTTAAACCATGAGAATAGCTTAGATAAATCTTATTTGCACTTATTCAGTCAGTATTTGTTCACCAAAATTAATTTTTTTTTACTTGCCCTGTTTTAGGTGTATTTACTACTATGTATCCTTGTTGTATACGTAACTGCCATAGACTATAAACAACTTACTGTTTTATGCCTCCCTACGTTATGAAAGACAATGCATCTTGCATACTAACAGAAACAGAAGGGTGTGAGGGGTGCCAAAAGTGTTTTTGAAATATACTACTTCACATTCAGAAACGTCTAAATATGCTACACCAGAAAACTTCCAACACTTAAGCACAAGGAAGCCCTTGAAGACAGTTGAGTGACCTTACCTTCTACTAAAATCACCTATTATGTTGTTCTGTATAGTCTTTTACTAGGCTAAGTATCGAGGTTAATAAGCAGATAAGGCACAGCAGACTTTTGGACAAGTAAAGTACAGTGCAGACTTTTCCTGGGACTGTCTACACTTGGCACTAAGAGTCTGCTCTTCAGCAATCAAAGTATATCTTTTGGAGACTTTTAGACTGCACACTCAAATATTTCAGCCCAGTGCCTCTTTAATTTGTGACTCAAAACAGCCCATACTGTCCACCGTTACCTTAGAGATGCCTGGATTGGAAATCCTGTTAGGGCAGAGTTGCAATACTTCTCCTCCACATGCAGCCTCTTCAGACACTAGGAACGGGGAGAAAGTTACAGTATGTTATTCTCCGGAATCACCGAATCAGACCTGAACACCCACAACCTGACCTCTTCCATTCAGCAAGACCACAAACAAGTCCTTGCTATGGTGCGATTAGTTGTCACCTCTGCTAGGAGAGGAGCAGCATGAAAACAGATCACGTATGGCCACATAAAACTATTCCTATACACCAGTGAATTGTCTGAACCATAAGAATAATATTCTCATACCCATGTTGCTTCTCTAGGAAAGGCAACTTTTAATAATAGTAACAAAAAAAAAAAAGCAGCAAACAAAAAACGGCACTTCCCTGCAGACTCTGTGCCCAAATAGCTCGTTGGACTCTGAATCTCTGGCAATGAGTCAACTAAGAAAGAGGCACTTGCCTGAAGCATAGCTAATTTCTCCAAAATTTCTCTAAACAACTAAGAAGAATTGGGCCTTGGAAGAAAAAGGAAAAAAAAAAAAATCCCTATTGACCCAGATGTTTACCGGAGAGTCTGTAGGAGGTGGTGTTGCTTCTTTGGAGCTGGCCATCAGAAAAAGGCGTGGAGGCTTGGGTGGAGCTTCATCATCAAACGTAAGCTTAGCCACAGGAAAGTCCCTGCATTTATAAGACAAAATGTAAGGAGAAAGCCTTGGAAGACAGCGTTATACACAGGCACAAATACATCACTGGAAGTGATATAAACACAGTTTAGTTCATTCCAACACATTGGACAACAGGACTCCTTGATTCACACCACAAGTCTATGAGATAGCCCAAAAAAAAAAAAAAAAAAGTTCCTCTAAATGAATGAGAAGAAAATAAGAAAATGAGCCATTAAGCTGTTGATAGTTAAATTAAGCTGTTGGTTAGATTCATGTTCCAACACTAGACCTCTGATGCTATGAAATTAATGCTACATAGGTACTTAGAAATAATTGATTCTCTGATCAAGACTTTGAAACAAACCTGGATTCGAATAGCATCACAGTAGCTGACTTGATCTCTTTTTCTTTTCAAGGACTTGTGGATCAGTGGGATAGTCTCTTTTAGAAAATGACTAATTCTCTAATAATTAATTCCAACAATTTTGGAGAAAATATTATTTAGAGCATTTTCTCTATAGAATATTTAAAGGTTTATTTACGTAACTTTTGAATGATATGTTAGCCTCACGGTTGGGATACGTGTAACCCCGTGAAAGAAGAGTACGTTTTTACCATAACAATCACATTGCGGCCTTGCATAGAGTTCATTTACTATGCAGGTAAAGACATTCAATGAGTGGAATTTTCCTTCCCTTACAGTGTAGAACCAGGACATCTTTCTGTGTATATAAAACAACTTTTGAAAATCCGCTTTAGTTTCTTCTTTATTCTAGCGTTTACTTTTCATCACTTTTATGGCCACAGTTCTTACTGCAGAGGAAAAGAAAGCTGCTGAAGTTCCCCTGGCTCTGGAACACACTGCTCAGTAGGAGAGCAATTCTGGAAATCAGTCCAACTGCTAACAATCAACCAGTACTAGCCACACAATAATGAACATCCCACTAAAACCACAAAATGTTAGGCAGCATTGGCTTTTCTTAAAATTATGAATTAAGTTCCACAAATCAAACTTTCACATCAAGTTCTTCCACCACTTGAGAAAGTCGCAACTGTATTTTAAGATCTGTTCTACGCCAATTCCAGACAGCGATCGAGCTATAATCAAAACAGGACTTACCTAGTTGGTTTGGACACTGAATCAACATGACTTTGCAGAGGAACTGGAGAGAAGTCTGTATGAACGGGATCATGAACCGAGGGGCTCAGACTGCTCATGGAACTACACGGAGGGAGGAAACTCATCATCAGGCGACCCCAAGCAGCAACGTTGATGTTCATTTGAGAAGCTCGGAGAAATTCTTTCCCTGGAGGAGTCAGCATCCAAACACCAGGGAGGTTACAAGGCACAAATTACAACCCCATGAATTGTTAAATTACCTTTTTCATCCAAATACCCACGAGCTACTCAAAAAGGCAGCCCACTCTAGGGAAAACAGGCTTTCTTTCAGAGAAGAACATTTAATAGTGGTAGGTGAAAAAGTAGATCTGTTCCATCAATTTCAGCTCCCTATAATGTCCTAACATAATCCTCGAGTAGAAGCTACACAAGATATTAAAAAATATTTTATTTCAGCCAGGTTTTACTCTATTTCTATACTGCATTTTAATCATGCAGCCTGTTAACTGAAAGTTTCTGAAAATATCTTACAAACACTAAAACATATGCGATCTTTTCATTATTTCTACCACCTCTTGAAGAGTGCAAATATAAAATGTAGTTTATCCCCACTGCCAAGAGCCAGCAGTATATAAAGTCCTAACTTACCCAGCCTAACAGGAAAAAAAACGTGCAGACAAAAGCAAGTTATTCCAGTCCCTAAGTTATTAATCTGACTGAGAGGCCAACTCTAAAGCTTTGACAGACAGTCAGTGGCCTGTTCATGTTAGAGTCTTCTATCATTCAGAGTTGTCCACAAAATCTTCCAATACCTGTTCTTTCATCAGTAGCAGCATTGCTGATTAAACTAGCACAGCTTGAGTACTGGATATTGCTAAGAAGTCTGTTAAAAGGCTAGTAATTATACCTTCCTGATACTGTTAATTATGAGTAGAAATACTGCTGCAATATCACAACATTACATCCCATACTGCAGCCAGGCTGCCTGCACTTTTTGTGATAGAACAAAGTCCCGCGTTCTAATAAAGCCCACCTACTTACACACGCTAAGCAGCCAACATTTTAATGCGCCTCACACATTCAAAGGGAGGGGAGTGCATGCCAGCCTGTTACTGCAAACCTCAGCCCTCAACCCGTTCACCCTTGCTAGTAAGCAGTCAGTTCTCCAGCAGCTTACCTTTCTGCTTGGGGAAAATGCGTTTCTGTCGCTGCAGCTTGGGCCTTCTCTCAATGACAGGATTGCAGAACATCACCTATCAGAGGAGTAAAGGGGATTCGTCAGGACACTTCATTCAGCCTGTGAGCACAAACGCGTACGCATGCCTGCTCTCTCAAACTCTCCATTCATATCTGTTTGGTAAGTGAGGAGTCACTGAGTCACTCTTGCAGACAGACTCCAGACTGTGCTATTCTAGCTTCATCCTCTAAACGCCTGCTATTTCAACTGTGGTTTTAGATGCTGGAATTTTCTGCTACCTGAAATGCAGAAAACCTGAAAAACGAGAAGCAATTCACATCCCAAACAAACTAATTCCCAAAGCCACACAAAAAGAACTGCTGTAACGAAGCCATTTGTAGGGTAAGAAGCAGTCAGCCCGTGGCAATAAATATAAAATTTTAAAAGAGCAAATTTGAGGCACGAAGGCTTTTGAGGCATGATCCTACTTTGAGGCATGATCCTACTTCTGAAAAGGCAACCAGAAACTTTCATCACAACGAAAAGGAGAAAGTACTGAGGCTTTTAAGGGATTGTGTTGATGATCTCTTCATTGATGATACTTCAAGCTCTTTATTATTAGCCTCAGAAAGATGACAAAATAAGCATAACCCAGAGGGAATCTGGATCTCTGATTCTGCAGTCTCTGTAATTTAAATATGACCATTAAGCCATAGGTTTAATTAAAGCATCACCAATGACTCATAATGAAAGCAAACAAAAAACAACAGATTTCACAGAGCACCCCTGTAATTACAGAGGAGCTGCTGAAGAGTCAACTCTAGGCTATGGCACACGTACATCCTATTATATCATGTTGCTCTTTGTTCTTACATGTGATACTGATCCCAATGTTCTAAAGGATTTCAGGTGCCGTTCTGCCCTTCCAGTTTATTGCTCTTTCCACTCCTTGTATCCTGGGCTGAAAAGCTGCTTTCAGGGCAGGAGGCACCCTAAACAGACAGGCTTCTCTGAAAAAGGAACAAAGCTGACACCTGTACCTCTGCAAAAAGCATTCCTTGGGGTTCAAGGGAGAGGCACATCCCATGGCGTTCGTTATCAAGGAAATCATCCAAACGTAAGAACTTCACTGCACATAGTTCTCGCCAGTCCCTCCAATAAACTGCAATTTCTAGCTCACGAGACTGAGGAGGAAAAGAAAAACAAAAAGGCAGTAGTCGCTTCCTGCCTGATGCTCTGGACATGGGGTGCACGTGCGCACACGCACACACACTGCTTTTCCTCAGGCAACTTTCAGAACAGATCTTTATTTTACCCTGTAAAAATTTAGTAAGCTAGACAGCACGCAAGGAAAAACTTCTTTAATCCTTCTGTTCCCCCACTTTTTCTGATCTTTTCAGACCTTCCCAGCTTCTCCTTTTGGAGATGGCTGTCCTCGCTCCCCCATTTCACAAATCCCCGTGGGAGCCATTTTGCTGGTGAGATGAAATAAGACTGCTCAGATAGGGAGAGAGGGACAACACCTGCTGTTCAGGCTGAAGCTCTGCCAGAGATGCACTGCCTTGGGGGGAAGACAAAGATAACTTGCGCATAAAAGCATACAGAGGCAGCGCCAATACAGAGTTGAATCAAATGGAATGGCAACTAAATGAGCAAACCAAGTAAGGTGAAACAGAAAAACAAATACAACACAAGGGAATCTACAGCAGCCTTACCCGGTCCAACTCAATGACAAAGCTCTGGTCCCATGCCTGGTTATTAACTGGTCCCCAGTTTGTTTGACCAACCACTTTATTGTCCACTTTGAGCACCGCGAGGACCTCACCTGGACAAAGGAGAAAACATATATTATATGAGTTCTAGGAGGATGAGGCATAACGTGATTCACTCTCTCAAGTTCGCAGAAAACAGTTTTCTTATAATTACACTCACATCAGGCTAACGTAGTACCCAGATGAGACCCCCATGCTCCAAAACATCACTCACAGTTCAACAGGGAACCCCATACTCACTACATAGCTCTTCATTCCGCAGGTACTTTCCTGCGACGCTACGGCCATGGATACCTAGGCCAACTCGCGTTCGGGTAAGGGACTTCAAATCACTCGGGCTGCCACATACGGGAGAAGAACTAGCCATTCGGGAACGTCCTGGAACATTTTCCAATAGATTCTGACACCCCATCAGTCTCACTTCTAGTGTTCCTGAGAAATTTCATCAGAGCAAAGAACGTTATTCCTGAAAAGGCAAAGTGATTCCAGTCAGCCTGTCCTTACAGAGGGCCAAGAACTTCCCAGGTTCTGGATTTCTTGGTTACTAGCTCAAATCTATCCCAGACTAATCATCTGCACATCCATACCGCTGGAAAGCTTTTACTGGCCTAGAAGAAATAAGCCTAGTTCCTCGGAAAAAAATCAAACGTCCATATGAAAAGAGGCATCACAACAATGAGAAGAAACGCAACCCATTTTTTCCAACATTCTCCCCACAACAACAGGCCATGCAGGACTGAGGTACCTGTAAGAGCTGTAGGTTTGATAACTGAAGTAGGTTGGATGCTGCTATGCTGAGCTCCCAGGGAGGAAGCATTTACTAGTTCCTGCTTGATGAGCGCTCGCTTTGGGTGATCAGGAGAAAGCTCACTAAGCTGATGTTCCAAGGACAAGCGCAGCAGATCAATCTTCTGAGAGGACTCTTGCAAGCGACCCTGAGCCTAACAACATGAAGTAGAACAGAGAGTAGGCAGAAATTTTGAATCAACAGCCCTGATCCTGGTTTTTTTGGTTGTCTTTTTATTTTAAATGAACTTTGTGAACTCCAAAAGCCAGCGTCAACAAAAAGACCAGCTAACATTTTACTAATAGGGAAGAAGAGGGAATATTTTCCCATAGATCCTGAAACCCCATCAGGCTCGCTTCCAATGTTTCTGAGAAGTTTCACCAAAGCAAGGAACATTCTCCCTAGACGGGAAAGGGATCCCAATCAGTCTGTCCTCACAGACAGCCAAGAACTTCCCAGGTTCATAACTCCTGGTTAATGGTTATCCCTGCTCATTCATCCCAAATCACTAACGTTGAGGCATGAAACAGTCCTCTTTAGAAGGCCTGAACAAGTGCTTACCTCAGCAAAAAACTTGCGATCCTGCACCCGACTCCCTCCTAGGATCTTCAGCACATTTTTCGCTCCCTCAGCTACAGCAGCTTCAATGCGCAGGTGATGTCTCAGCTCCTCAATGCACAGCTCCAAAGCACTGATGGTGGTCCCCATCCTCACTGGCCATTTTGGAGATAAAATACAACAAGGATGCAAACTGATCAAGAATTCTGGATCCTGGGGCTTTGGACACGTCTCGCCTGAGATGTATCAGTTAATTAAAATACTTTACCTGCTGGATCCTCTGTATCTTCCATCCTTCCTGCTGTCTGAGATACCTTCACAATGTGCATGCGGATTATTTCAATCTTTGTCTTGCTGTCCTGAAGCATCTGCTGAGCTGTAGCCAGCAGCTTCCGCTCCTGCCAAAAAAAAAAAAAAAAAAAAAGGATTATAAGGATTATGGTGATGTGTTCCGATATGAGGATGAGGTGGTACCTGAAAGAATCATCATAAATGATCATGATATAACATACACAAGCAATTCTGTAAAAGAAACGTTGCTGAGGACCAAGGACTTTAAGATACCTACCTCCCTTTGCACAGGGAAAGGACAGGTCAAGGAGTCTTTGTTGGACTATGACACCAAGGGAAAATGGTGAGTTGCTAGGGAACAGGGTCTGCCTTGCAAGTATTTCCAGTTAATATAAAACCTTGCAGTCACCGAGACTTGCAGCTCACTGGTCAATTGTGCTTACAGAGTCACGTGAGAAGAGGTTTGGAACAAATCAAAATATTACAGCCTTCTACATTGCTGGTCTTATTGAATTAAGCTTCATAATAAGCGTGGGTTTTTTTTTTAAATTATGCTTTTGATTTTTAAATATGATTATGCCAAACTCAATAAGTGGAATGAATAAGAAACCAGTAAATCTCTGAAGATCTCTCTCACATGAAGAGATACCACACGCTGTGTTCTATCCTAAACTACCTAGTCGTATCAAAACATCACACCAACTCAGTGTACAATACCAACGCTTTTGTACTTTCTTTGCTGATGCCAGTGATTGAACGTTCCTCTTATACTGCCCTCACTATCTTCCCAGGCTTGGGACAGTTTCTCTAGGGACAGTACTTCTGTCATGCCATTTCCTATGAGATACTTTTCTCCAGCTCAAATCTGCCTCTAATCGAGAGTCATCATGAACGCTGAAGTTAGACGCATTAACACTTACTTCTAGGGTGGCAGTCAACTCAGTTAGGCATCTAGACCAAAGCAGTCATGCAGAGCCTGTAATTAGTAGGGAGAGGTAGGTCTTTCCCAAGGGCCGTTCACCTCTTTCAGAATGACAGGGCAAGGTACTCTTTGCAGGTACCTCCCACTTTTCACTGAGACTACAGAAGGAGCTTAGACAACTAACATTAAACTATATGATTCCCGCCTCTATGATTAATACCACTAAGCAATGTTCAAGAGCAGAAGCGCAATAGTATCTGCCATATTGGAACCTCCAAAGGGTCAAAACTGACAGATTACACCACTCTGTCCAGCCTAATAACCCTACTCTGACAGTGATCGCTACAAGACGCTTCAGAAAAAGGCAGAGACAACCACATCACAGACAGAAGAGGAATAAATCACCCTTCCAGAAAAGCCTTCTCCTAACATCCAGTAGTTAAGAGACTGGCTTAAGCTCTTGACATATGAAATATACACCATCCAATTCCTTTTTGATTCCCACTAAACTCTTGAAATCTGTTAACATGTGGCAATAAGTCTAACGCACAAACACTCACGATACCAGTTGTCCCATGGAGCAACATGACATGCTATCACAGTGCTGAACACCAAAACACAAAGCTGGATTCAGTCAGGTGGGCTTCACAAATGGATTTCTTTCACGCTCCAGTTACCAGACAGTGCTTGCACTTTAAACACAAATTGTGTTCCAGGATTCCTATTCCCACATGGTTGTTTATTCCTGCTTACCTTGGATGTTGCATTTGAATACAGCTGGATCATGTTCTCAGCTCCTTGTTTCACTTTCATTTCAACATGCAGCTGCCTTTTCAGAGCTTCGATCTTCCTTGCCACGGGGTCTCGGTTCCTTTCCCAGAGACAAGGGTCTGGAGATAAAGATCCATCTGTGCAACAAAACAATCAATACCATTAGTCATCTTTTCCTGTATCATCTCACTGAGTTACAGATGAGTCAATCTATAAAAGAAGGTTAGGCTATAAAAAAAAATAAAAAATAAAAAGATCTCACCTACAAAACTGACTGCAAAATACTATTTCAAATGAAGCTTAAGCTCATACCTGCAAGTATTTCCTAGTTTATCAGTGACCCAGCCTTAACAAGCACTCTTCCAGTCTTATAGTCATTCATCCCATAAGGTACTTGGATGTTCAGCTGCCCAGAAACTCTGTTTAAACCTCTTCAGTTCCATCTACAGCCTACTCCTGTACGTTGTCCATGCCCAGCACCCTCAGCTGGTTTTCTGCCCACGATGATCTCTTGTGTTGACTTCTTTCATCTTGATCACCTGAATCTCAACTTTTTACCGCACAGCCAAGTTGATCAGCTGAGTAGCCACAGGAGAAACTCCCACTACTCATGAGCCCTCAGTAGAAAGAAAGAAATAAATTGGTGCTGAAGCTATCTAACCAGATTTTCCTGTCAATCATGACTCAAGACCCACCTGCCTTACTCTCCTCTTTGTCTGTTATTACAATCCTTGCGTTAAGTTCCTGAAGTTCCCAGTGCAGTTGCTCCAGCTTCCGGTTGGAGGATTTCAGAACATGCTCTATATGCACAAGATTCTTCTTGTCTGTTGTCACCTTGCGCAGGTTTTCTGCTCCCTCTTTAATTTTCAGTTCCTTTTGAATAGCTCGACGAATTAGTTCCTTCTCATCCTCCAGTTTTTGCTGGAAGCTTGGATCCATTAAGTTCACCCCATTGCTCAGCTGCAAGAGACAGCTGCCCTGCAATTAAGCAGTATTGGGCAAGAGGATTACAAAGATAACACCATTCAACCATTTTTATGATACAGCAGTAGACCCATAACAGTTTACCCCTTCTTTTCATTTAGAAAGTGGTTCACACAAATTCTGAAGCTAACTCTTTCACCAGTTTTTGAAGAAGGCAAGACCTAGATTTAAATTCCAGCGGTCTGAACACAGCTTTGATCTTAACATGACTTAATGCTGTTCTAAATCATAGTGAAGACAAACCCTCATGGAACTTGCCTTCTTGTTTTTTAATGTATCTATGTCACTCAAGTATCAGAAGGCAGCTGTTATTTGCCCTTGTCCTGATCAACCGTAAATTTTCCTGGTATTATTTAGTAGATACGGATTTTTACGTCTGAATACGTCTTGACACTGACTCTCCAAAGACACAAACCAACGAACCAGTTAGAGCATTTTGCGAATGTCACAACCATGCATTATCACTCAGCTGTTACCTCTGAAGAAGAACAATGCAAAATCTACATCGGTTTTTACAACTGAACAAGCAAAAGAGTCAGCTTTACTTTCAGCTACATCCAAAGAGGTAACCACAGACTGCTGTTGTTCCTATGTCTAGTCTACCTGTGATTTACATATAGCAAGGCTTCTTTCAAATACTATTTTGAGCTGCATTAGCAGCATTCAGGCTGGTTGTTAGCTTTGTTTTATATAATACTATTTGTTCTGGAGAAACGTGCCTCAGCAATAGGTCTGGACGGAGAAGCTCTGATTACAGACTCTGAACACACACAGCATAGGCAGTAGCAGCACAGGTATAGCTCACCAACCAAACATGCACTGAACTCCGGCAGTAGCTGGGAAACCTTTATCCACGAGGCTGCTACCTAACAGTGGAACAAACAGATCCAATCAAGTGGTTGTGCTTTTCTCTTAAACAGGAGGAAGGACTCTGAGGCATTCACAGCAATTACTATATTAATAGCTTAACATTAATTACTTACCATATTCCCCACTTAAATGCAAAAGAAAGGGTAGCACAGTCAAGCTCCACTACACTAACTGACTTGATATCAAACAGCACGTCAGTGACTAAAGTTAGAACTCGGGAATCCTGACTTGCTTTCATATTCTTTAATCAGTTGACCACATTTCCAACAATAAACCACACTGGTTTTGTATTACTCATATGTGTTACTGCTTTTTAAGAACATGCTATGCATCCAAAGCCCATGCCATTCACACAGAAACATACAATTAATCACATTATTACTGTTTTTGTTAAGCACCTCAAAGATTCAAACAAATTCCCTTGATCTATTTTTGCTACAATTTCAGTGTAACGGCAAAATAATTAAATTAAAGAAGAAGAAGGAAAACAAAAAATCTATTTTTAAAACTGGCCTAAAACCAAGTTGGGTCTGCAACAGACACACAATAGCCAAAATAGGAGTTGTTCAGATTGGTAACAAAACAAAAAGGTTCAGACTAACATCCTGATTCCAGGAAGTTCTCGCCCAATTAGTAAAGCCAGGAATTAAGCCGGAGCTTTGAAAAACATCCAAAGTTACATGAGGAAGAACTTGACTCACGGAGTTCCTGAGTCACAGGCAACCTCTTCTAGCTGTGAGCTGGAGAATCAGAAAGCTCTTTATCCAGCTTGTAGTAAGGGACTCAAAGGAGTTGGTTTATTTGCAATTCCCCCATTTAAATAAACATTAGGAAAAGCATACAGATTTATTTGATCTCCAACCACGCAAACGGGCCTAAGCAATCCGCCCCCTGGCTCTGCCCAGAGAGCAACAGGACGAGCAGCTGGCGCAAGATTAACGCTGAAAACGGTACTGAATCCACAGAGCTGGGTGTCGATTCACGAACAGGTACAGACTGGGCAGCTGCCAGCTGAATTTTCCTCCGCAGGGCTCTCTGACAAAGGCTACCCTGAACGCCAGTTAACGTACCACGCTCGTTTTCTAAATACGTTTACAATATAGGCATGGTACGTCTCACCGAGTCTCTCTTCCCCTCCCGCCGATCAGCGAGCGCCGCAACACAGAGGCCGCTTGCACCAGGGAGATCAAACATCGAGGAAGACGAGAAAGCCGATTTTGCGCCAGGGCCGATGCCACACGGAAACGCCTAGACCGCTTCCCAGCTAGCAAAACCTTAAGCAGTATCAAAGCTGCACTCGGGCCTTTGGTTGACAGCCCGGAGAGATCCCACTCCCCTCGGCCGCTGGGCCCAGCCTGGCGACGACCTTCACCTGCCCAGAGCGGAGCCGGCCTTTACAGTTACACCAGCGACACAGAAATTAACGTGCAAACCGCTTTCCCTCGCTGGCGACCATCAGGCCGTCCCTCCCGCAGAGGCATTTTAAAATCCCCCCTTTCGCCTAACTTTCGCCCTGCAGCGACGAAGCCCGAGCGGGGCAGACTCGTGCTGACCCCATTCGCCCCTGAAGAGAAAAATCGCTCCATACGGAAAAGGGCAACCGCAACCCTGTCTGGAGCTGCTCCCCTTTCCGACTTTTCTTGCCGGCTACGCAGTTGCTGGCGGGTTGGACACGAGAAAAGCAAAGGAGCCGCAGGAGCCACCGAGCTGGGGGCGCCCGGCACTGCTTTGTGCCGCCCTCTCCAGGACTTCTTTCCCAGATTAGCCCTGAAATGCCTCAAGGAAGAAGGCATCTCTCCCACTTTGGGGGAGTTCATTCCAGAAATTAATGCCTTCCCCAGCGAGGGGGCTGACCGCTTCCCCTAGCTCAGCCCAAACAGCCGCCTCTGCCTCACACGACCCCTTGGTC